GTCCAGACTAGCTTTGTCAAACCTGCTGGTTGTAGAGTTATGTAACACGGCTTTAACTGTACTGTGTGTATGCTTCTGTCAGCTCTGTTGCTCAACACACACTTTCGGCCTGATTCCGTGTTGCGTGTGCATTTTCACACACGCACAATTTGCATGCACGGGGCGTGTGCTTGTGTGTTTCTATTTTTAAACAGGAATCCATATGCCGGGTCTAAGTGCATTGACGGCATCGATTTCAATTTCAGGGCAAATCTGGTGCTGATTCAAAAGGTATTCTGTAAAATAAAGACCTTTTAAAATCAACAAATGACGAAGAGAACTTTACATGTCGTCGACGTAATTGATGATTTAACTTTCTACAACAATCAAATGACCAAAAAAATCAAGTCATACATATATTAGCACATTTAATGTTTAGAGCTGATGAGCTGCAAACCCTTAGATAGGTGACATGCTAAATTGTAGCTTAGCATCACTGTTGGCTTGCTGACTTCAGCATTCAGGCTCCCACAGCCACGAGCACGGCTATAAACTCAAAACAAAAAAAGTTGGAAGATGCCAAAACACTGTGCAAGTTTATAATCATCTCATTTTAATCATGGTAAAGATTCGGTGTTCTGTGGGTTCGACAATGAGCCTGGTTTGAGGTTTTTGAGTTGAGTGAAATAATAATTAAAAATCCGCCCGTTGCTGTGAAGTATTTGACACAATACATCACAGGAGTAATTAAAAAACATACAGAATAGGCTGCTGTGGGGAAATTAACAGTAAATTACGTCCGGTTCTCGGGAGCTGTTGTCCTCCTCTGTCCCTCTCACCCTTTATTCTTCCCTTAAGACTGCATGGCCTGAATTGAAGGCCTGCAGATTTACAGTGTGTCTTCGTGCAGCTGAATTAAAGGGTTAAAACTGGAGGAAAGAGAAGAAGAGGAGGAAAAAGAGAAGAGGAAGAAACTAGAGATTGAGAATCATTCTTCAAAGACTGTCCTTGTGCAACCCCCACCGCCTCTGCATGAATGGGTGTGATGACGGGGGCGGGCCGCGGCAGGAGAAAGGACGACCCGAGAAAACCTCCAGACAAGCTCCTCCCACTGTAAATCTGTCACTTGGGTAACTGTCAGCAGTCGCTCAATCATCCTCCAGTTACAAGGCGATCGTTTCATTGAGGACAGTTGTCAATCATTCTTATACCGACTGTCTGGTTCACACATCCTCTCTCACTCTTTGTCACACACTCTCAAACCCAACCCCGATTCTCCCACAATGCAACTGCCCCCTCCTACCTCCGTCCGAGTACGTCTCTGTTCCGTATCCGTCTTGCAGCCCGTTGTTCCACGTCCCCTCGTACTTCCCGCTCGTCCCGGTGCTTTCCCGGACGCCATAGCGTCCCTTAAAGCCGTGCGTCCACTCGCCCTTGTACACCCAGCGGCCTTTATTCTCAACACCCACTCCGTGTCTCTTGCCCTGAGCCCAGGTGCCCTGATAGGTGTTACCGCTGGGCCACGTGTAGACGCCCAGAAGCTCAAAGCCGTGGGCCCAGGACCCACAGTACTCGCCCTGGCCTTTGGGTCCCGTGCAGATCCCGTGGCCGTGCGCCTTGCCCTCCTCCCACCCACCGCAGTATGACCCCCCATCGTCAAAGTTGAACCTGCCGCCAGTGGACATGCATGAAACAGGTCTTGGCAATTCCCCTGAAGCCTCGACAAAAAGAAAAAGAAAAAGAAAAGAAAACAGAGGGAGGAAAAAGAAGGACAGGTTGGTGCTACAATCAATCCATGGAGCTGAATTCAGAGTTCGGTGAGGAGGAGGAGGAGGAGGAGGAGGAG